TTTCTGTCAAGGTGCTCATCCCTTGCAGCCAGACTGAACGCAAGAGCGCGGTGGAAGGGCCGGCTCAGGAGGCTGCTGGCAAATGCCCCCGGGTCTGTGAGCCCTGTGGGGCTCGTGCCGCGCTGCGGGTGCCTCGTGTCCTCAGATCCGCGGGGTGGCAGGGACCGGGTTGAGCTGCAGCAGGGTGCTGGCGATCAGACCCACGAGCAGCGTGGGGTGGGCTCTGCTTCACCTTGCAGGTTTAATTTGGCTTTGGTGCTCAGCTCTGAGAGCTTAGGAGGCTGAAATCAGTGCACAGACAGTGGTAGCCTGAGATCCTTGTTCTGCTCCTCCCCTCCCTCAACACACACAAAACCCCTCAAAATCCGCCGAGCACTGGTCTCCCCGCAGGACCCCTCCCCACATCTCCCCAGTGCTGAGCTCCTTGCGTTACCATCTCAGAGCCCGTCGTGATTTCACGTTGTATCTGGGGAATGCGAGACCGTAAGCGAAGGCTCTCAGGAGCACCCCCCAGAAGCTGCTGTGGTGCAGTGGCACGTGGGTGGTTGTAGCCGGGCAGCGGCGGCGGTGCGGTGGTGACGTCAGGCGCTTGCGGTGGTGCTGTCGTGCTGTATTTTCCCGTCGGTGGTACCAGGCTAGCGCATCCACCACCACTGCAGGATTTCGTCTCCAAGAGCCGGCGAACGAAGCAGTTCCCATGGAAACCACGGCTTCGGTTCCTGTGGCAACCAGCCAGGGTTGCACACAAGCAGAAGGAGAGGTACCAGTGACCATGGCCTGATCCTGCCCGGGGCTGTGGGGGCTGCTGGTGTCGGCAGGAGCTGGGGTCCGGGGTGCAGGCTCTGGTGGGTGCCGTCACCTGTGCTCGCAGGGGTTGAGGACACCGGACTGGTACCAGGGGGGATCACAGAATCACAGAATGGCTTGGTTGGAAAAGCCCTCTGAGATCATCACGTCCAACCGTTCCTGTCTACCCCCTAAACCATATCCCTAAGTACCTCATCTACCCGCTTTTTAAACACATCCAGGGATGGTGACTCCACCACCTCCCTGGGCAGCCTGTTCCAGCTTCTGACGACCCTCTCAGTACAGAACTTCCTCCTTATCTCTAACCTGAACCTCCCTTGGCACAGCTTGGTGCCGTTACCCCTTGTTCTATCCGGCTCTTGGTTTTCCTGCTTCATGGGCTCCTTCATCACAGCAGGTTGGGATGAGTTGGGGATTTCTGTACGTGCTGGGCTTTAACCAAACTGCTCGTTCTACCTGATGGTTCATTTGTGGAGCTGGGTTGCTGAACTGGTGATGCTGTGGATACGCTGCAGTATGGCAGGCCCTGCAAGGGAATGGTCTTTTTCTTAGGATCTCACTTTTTCCCCATCATATACAGGAATCGGAACTCAGTAGGGCAGTGGAAAGCCTGACTGGGTCCGTGCTGAACGGCGCGGAGGTCACAGCGTCACTGAGGTTGGAAAAGCCCCCCCAGATCATCAGGTCCTACCAAGATCCTGCTGTGGGATTGCTGTCAGGGACCTCCCCTGGCACAGCAGCTCCTGGGTCGCTGCCGCCGCTGCCATCCCAGTGGCAAAGAGTTAAAGAACCTGGTTCAAAACTGCAAATCACCCTTGTGATTGCTCATTGATGAGGAATTTTTAATCAGTGAGCGCCGTGTAATGGAACACAGCAGCTGAAATGTGCTTTTGGAGAAGCTCATAATTGAAAGTGTGTTTTTAAATTGCTAATATAATGTTTGTAAGGAGAGCTTTGTAAGGAGAGCTTTTAAACCTCACTGATACCAACTACAGGGCTAGCGTTATTCCTGAGGCAAGTGCAGATCAGGCATTGGGGGCATTATTTTCAATCTCAACATAGGAATAAGCAATTTAACTACAGCCAGCTATAAAATGGAAAATTCTTTACAGTGACAAGTGAGTGTTGCTGTGTAGTGCCAACAGTAGTTTGTTTCTGGTTTATTTACCGAGTAACGGCAAGTGGGATCCGCACAAGGACCAAACTGCAGCCCTGACACCGCGAGGAAAATGGGCACAAAAGAGCAAAGTGCTACAACTGGCGCTGCAGCGGGCGCTGCCGTTGTGCTGGTCGTGCTTTAATGATCCGTGTGGGTAGAGGCCGCTTTGGAACTGACAGCTACGTGTGAAGGGGGAGAATCAGATACTGAGGGGAGCGACGACAAACCCATGTATGGATTTTCATTTGGTCGCTGCTGTTCAAATAAAAGATGAAGGGACCGGTGACCGTTGCCCGTGCTGCCTCGTCACCGTGCCCGCTGCGCTGCGGTCAGTTGGGTCCCAGGGCCTTGGTCCTCTGCAGGCAAAGGCTTTGCTCTCAGCTTGGTGGGCCCACTCTTACTCTTTATGTTATATCACATGGGTCTTGCAGAGATGCTGATCCCTGCAGCAAACGATCACTGGGTGCTCTATATGGCCTCAGCTCCCCGTTTCGCACACGGTTAGGAGTTAAACTGTGAGAACTGTTTAACTGTAGGGAGTGAAATGATCAACTCATTCACCAGAGCCAGCAGCTGACTTGCAAAACTTCCCAACTGCCAAAAGCCATGGATGGGTTCACATGAGAATGAGGAAATCTGTGATTTCTTCCTGGGACGGGTCAGCTTCCCCCACATCAAGGTCAGGGCTTGCTGGCTCTTTTAAGTGGTGCCCTTGTGGAATTTTTTTTAAGTGCTTGGAAGTGACAAATCAGTTTTAAAGTTGTGATTCTCACTGTAGCTTCCTTTCACTGTGGAGTAAAAGTTGCCTGGGCAACCAGGGCTTCCAATTCCTTAACGTTAAAAAAAGAAACCCTGCAGTCGTCGCTGCACAGGCAGAAGGAGAAGAGCCGGTGCTGGAGGTTGGTGCTTGGAAAAGAGCAGTCTAGGGGGTGTGCGTCTGCTGAGCTGGCGGAAATCACGCACACGTGGGCTGTGCTCGGATCGGGTCTCACCGGCGTCACGTTGTGAGCGCCCACAGCTTTGCACAGAGCAGAGAACCGAAACAGCGATGGCTGCGCCGGGCTCTCTCCAGAGGTCTGCGGCTCCCGGCTGCTGGCAGAGCCCATGGGGCCGGGTTTGGTGCAGCGCCACATCCCCAGGGATGTGCTGGAGAACGGAGCACCCCGACAGCACCAGAGCGAGCTCCCCGGCTCCGCTCACTGCGATGCTCGTCCTGGGGCTTGCTGAGGTTTGCCTGCCTTTTCAGTAATTACAGGTTCATCGCTAATTACCAGCCGCCCTGCCCATAGCTCACAGTCGTGCTTTCCCCCGGTGCTGGGTGTCTCCTCTCAGGCAGGGAAGGAGGTCGGCTCTGTGGCGTGGTGCTGGTGCTGTGTGCAACACAGGAGCCCAGGGTGCTGCGTTTCTTTCCTGCCCTGCCAGGGAAGCCGCGTTGCCGTGTTCGGTCCTGTCGCTGTTGTGCCCCATGAGTAACCACATGGAGACCACGTTTGGAGAGAAACACTGCACAGAGGGGCCGGGTGGCGTCTGTACACAGCGACTCCAGTCTCAGGCTTTGCCCTGCGTGCTGCAGTCCTGATGAGGTCGTCAGAGGAGACCTTCTGACCAGATCTTACGTATTTAAACGCCAGCGCAGGAGCGTTTGCCTTCCCCATTGCTGTAGCTTTGCCCTCCGTGTCCCACCGCGTCCCTCAGCTGCCAGGAGGCCAAGGCTCTGTGTGCTGGGGCAGGCCAAGCGCTTCGGCCACGCTCAGTGGGGTCAGGGGCTTTAAAACCATGGATTTTGACTTTAGCCACATGTGATTCTTGGGGCCAGAGCCCTCGTCCCTGCTCACCTGCAGCTCCTGTGCCAAAAAACCTTCCCTGCTGCGTCACCCTCCTGTCCCAGTAACCCACTGCTGTAGGATACTGGTCTGCTGGGGTTTCCTGGTGTAAAGCCTTGGGATTGAGGAGCTGGTGGATCTGCTGAGGGTTTAAAAAGCAGCGAGCGGGACAGAGCCGGCCCCTTGGCCTGAAAACCGTCCCTTGCGAGAGGCGCTGAGCTGAGCTGAATCAGCTGCGCCGTTTGCCTCGTTGGGAGGAGCTGTTTCCATTTACACATCTGGAATGATTGTGATAATAGGCATTGTTTGGCCGTTTTAAAAATACTCCCTTTTTTTGCTATTATCAGGACAAAGGTACCTTTTTAAAAAAAAATTACTGTTCTATAAAACGGCAGGAGCTCCCCTTGTCATTGTGTTGGCTTAGGCTGAATTAAAGACCTGGCTGAACAAGCTTAAAGTTATTCCCGGCAAACTTTACAGATGAAAGACCGGCAGAGCCACTGAAGTGTGCGAGGTCAGGTCCTGATTGCGGCTGTCCTGGAGAACCTGAGGGAGAGATAAAGAGCCCGTCCCCTGGAGATGATGAGGCTGATCCTCTGCCAAGCGTCGGGTTTGCTTTTGAATTTAAAGCTTGCCAGCGGCGAGGGAAAAGCAGCACCCGGGCAGGCTCTGGATAGCTGATGGTATTTTGAGAAGTGTGCGTGTGATTGAGATTCCCTATGGTGAAACTTTAAAAAGGGACAGGCTCTGTGTAGTTTAGCACATTTCCCTTGTTCTGCCCCCTTTATGCCTACAGTAAGTGCTGCCCTGGGCTGGGGACAGGTTCTCTGTCCTGGTGCTGTTCGGGGCTGTGTCACTGGCTTCAGATCTCATAAACCAGGGCGTTTTGTGAAGATCAGGCATTGTTTTCCTGCTGCACCGCTCAGTAACCGATCCCCATCAGATCCATGTGGTTTCTTGTGCTTTTGCTTTTCTTCTGACCGTATGAAAGTCCCCCCCCTCTGTGATTTCTGTGCTGGTTACAGAAACGCACTGTGATTTTGTGTAGACCTACTTGAAAGGTGTAGCTGTAGCTGAACGCGTTTTACACCAGCGTAACTGGTAATTAAAACAACCCAAAAACGAGCTATGGCCATGGGAGTGACCAGGTGAGTGTAGATTATGCTCGTCTTTGCTCTCCTTATATTTCTTTTTCTTCCCTCTGTCTGTAGACTTTAAAGAGGAAGGAAAAGGAGTATGAGCACGAGATGGAGCGGCTGGCAAGAGAGAAGATCGCCACCCAGCAGCGCCTGGCGGAGCTGAAGAACGAGCTGAGCCAGTGGATGGACATCCTGGAGATCGACAGAATCGTTCGGCAGACGGTTCAGCCGGAGGACGACCAGGCATCTACCTCGACAGCATCAGGTACCTGAAATTTCTCTCTTGCACTCATCACTGTCCATCACTGACGCAGTTACACGTGGCGGTGGGGATCTGTGTTTAGCACCATTGATGTTTCTTTGTGTTCAGAATAAAGTAAAATGTTTCTGAGTGGTTTGTAATAATTTACGTTGGCCCAATAATACACTGGTGCTTGTGTAAAGTCAACGTGGGAGTCGTGCAGCCCCGTTAAGCGGATGCCAAGCGCAGGTTTGCACGTTCAGTCTGCTGATACCTCACATGGAGATCCCTGCTTGCAAAACGTAGTTTTCCCCTTGCACAGCTCTGCATCCCTGCTCGTTAGCGCTGAGGGGTGTTTGAGCATCCTGCTGTAATGTGCATGGATGTGGCAGGGTGTTCAGCCGCGTAGAGAAGAAGGAGTTGGTACAGGAAGGCCCACCAGAGCATTAGAACAACGTGATGAGCCTTCACCTCGTGTGAGAAGGATTCAGTGAAGATGAAATGATGCCAGCAAATCTCTGACGTGCTGTTTGCAGTGAGAAGTTTTTGAGAGATAGGAGAGTGCATGCTTTTCTGCATCCAGTGACCTGCAGCAGGAGGAGTAGGCCGTGCGCGGCTGTACGGCTGAGGAGGCTGTAGCAGTCCGTAGCCATTCGCAGCGGTTCCTTCAACTCGGGACAGCGTTTTTTGGTCGTGGCACTGCAGACAGAGGAAGCAGCGGGTTCCAGGAAGGGAGGACCTGGGTTTCCTGGTTCATTCAGGCGTGTATGGGGCTCATCACCTTTGAGCGTGCTCGCTGACTCGAGTGTAGGCTGCTGGAAGCTGAGAGTAGGAGTGCGTTGTCAGTGCGGGTGTCAGCGCTCGCCTCTCCGGCTGCTGGAAACGATCGCTTCAAGCCGCTCCTGACCACAGAGCTTGCAAAAGGGAAGCGCCTTCCCTGCTTCTCCTGCTGCTTCTGTATCTTCTGAGCTTTCTAATCGCTGCTGCATGGCTGGCTCTAGAGCAGGCAGTGCAAGGTGCCCTGCTCGTCCCCCTGATCTCTGCAGGGTTCCTGCATCACTTCCTTAGTCTCTGGGCTGGATGAGAGTCCATTTTCCAGATCCAGACGAGGAACTTGCTGCCGTGTTTCTCCATGGCTGTTTCCTTCCTGCTCTGGGAGCAGAAGGGGTGGTACCGATCCGTGGAATGACCGGACAGGAAAGGAAACCCTACTCCTCTTCCCATGTGCTGCCTTTTAGGGAGGCTGGTTGGTCCAGTTTGTGCTCTGCTTGCTTTTTATGGGAGTTTCTTCCTTTTAATTTTTTCTAGAGGGTGAAGACAACATGGATGAGGACATGGAAGACGACAGGCCAGTGAACTCGTTACCAAAACTAACCCAGCGCCAGCACCCCGAGCTGCTGAAAGCCGTCCCTCCCAGCGCTGCTCCCCACCACCCGGCCGTTGTGCGTTGGTCCAGTTTGTGCTCTGCTTGCTTTTTATGGGAGTTTCTTCCTTTTAATTTTTTCTAGAGGGTGAAGACAACATGGATGAGGACATGGAAGACGACAGGCCAGTGAACTCGTTACCAAAACTAACCCAGCGCCAGCACCCCGAGCTGCTGAAAGCCGTCCCTCCCAGCGCTGCTCCCCACCACCCGGCCGTTGTGCCTCAGCACGTGGCCATCCAGCAGAAACAGCC